TCATTTTGTCCTCTTTCCATTTGTTGTCATTACTAGTAATTGCTTGAATTCTTGAGAAATCTAACATGGCCTGAACCTCAATATTAAGGGATGTTATCACATGAGCACAAAATGCTACAAATCATTGAAGAAAAAGATTGTCATCGTGCCAATTAGAATTATATACTGTAGATTTTAAAAGCTTTTTCTTACTAAACCTACGATATTGTACAACGTATTCATAATACCATACATGGATCTTACATACAATTATTTAGGGTTTTCGCTCGTTAGGATTAAATGGCTTTGAATAACAATCAGTGTACTTCTTTTTGTTTTGTGTTTGTTTATACATGTACATTTATGTACGATACCTCGTTGTTTATTTCCTGAAATACAAGAAATATTTATCAACTTGACATCAGCTTTCCAAAGCACTTTTGGATCTTTCAAATGGCAATTTTTTTTTTTTTAACCCTTTCCAAGAATTTATTCATTTTTACTTAATGTTGCATTTCATTAATATTAATGTGTAATGCAATTCAATTCTTCTTCTTTTTTTAGCGAAAGAAAAAAATTCTAGGCCTACATTTTGCTATATGGATTTTTAGCCGAAAAGTACCGGTAGCCACGATTTGATATTAAATGCAGATTCATTTTTCACATTTCAAATCTCTTCACAGATCCATCCCCCAAAAGGGTCCAAGGGTCAAGACATTGTTTATATTTATAGTTACTATGGCAATGGATCCTATTTTCCAATGAAACATACATGTGTATGCATCTATTATTGGGGCAAAGGTTTATTACATGAACATCAATCAGTCTCTAATGCTTATATTTCCATCATTCAAGTATGTCATTTTGATTGTCCTGTTCGAGGTCTGCAAGTAAAAATGAGAAATGTTTATAACTTGAAACTTGTGTAAATTGATAAATATTAGGACAACGGTTCTCACAGCAAGAAATGTTGTCACAGGTTGCAATAATTTAGTGTTGTGGATCAGTTGTATTGTGGTATGAAACTTTTGTGAATCCCAGCCTCCCCCCAAAATATGAAAGTTTCAGGTTGTATAGTGATGTTTATAATCTTGAGAACTACAACAATATTCAGCATACAAACGTTTGCTTAATAATTGTTGATTGTTCATTTGTATTGTGCAACATTTTCCTCTCAGCCCCATAGCTTTCAGGTCTTTTGTTTTCTTGTAAACAGATGATGTGAATTTCAGTCAGCGAAAAAGTAAATTCAAATGAAAACTTGTTCATGGCATGTCTAGTCTTATAGCAGACTCAGAGGTGGACTGTGACACTTTCTCTGCGATGATCGCTCCACGATAAAAGAAAAAAAAAGAAATGATTAAAAACAAAAGCAATAAAGCAAAAAGTCAAAAGGCAAGAAAAGAATCGAAAAAATTAAACAAAAACAAAAACAATCTACTTTAGACGCTGTCATTATATGACAATCTCAAAAGGGTTCATAGAATTGAGTTCATGCAGAATGTTTAGATGATCTCATCAACATTTGCTATGGTACATGTACATGTACATGATGAAATAAAGTTACCTTGTGGAACATGTGATGTATTATGTACATGCACTAGAATACTTGTGATACTTAGGAGAATAGTGCCCTCTACAGGTATGTGATGAACAGGATGCGTATGTCAGTTGAAAGATGATGTATGACCCAATTAGAACCAACACAATACGTCCATCATGAAAACATGAAAGCAACTACATGTACATGTATATTGTTCATTGACATTGATGGTTAATTAAATACAATTATGTAGATTGTATACATATATCTAATTATCTACTTGATGTAGGATGTAGGAGATATTTACTTCAAGCAGGGACTTGTTAGTTGTATCCCAAGTCCCTGCTTCAAGATACATTGAGTAATGATTGTACAGGGATTTTCAGAAATTGATTTTCCTTTTGTCAAGATTATGAGAAAGACAGAGCAAATGGGATGGAAAACTCGCAAGAAACATCACAGAGTTGCCAATTTGTGTTTGATTGATGGAAACTTCAAAAATTGATAATTGCCTTATTTTTAAAATCATATTTTGTTCAAACTTTAACTGACCTGTTCATCTCATTTTCCTGCTACGATTAAGATATAAAAGCAACTTATAATACCAGGGTGGACTTTCCATTTAAAAGGAGCTTACAAATATGTATTTAGGTCAGTGGGTCATCAAAGTACATACACTACATGAACTACAGTATTGTCTGTGCCAAAGTCTTTGACTTGAGAAACAGGCTGTCCACTCTGTATGGATAAACCTTTTTGTTTGTCTTACAGGTGTATCTCTTCAAACTGCATCTATTCAGTTGTTTTTGAGCACAGGTGTTTTTTTTTAGCTGCCCGTCTGCTCTGTGACTGTTATGCGTAGAACTACATGTGCATGCAACATTAGTCACTGTTTTTTTTAATAATTTAATTTTGACTTATACACAGGCTCTAGAGTAACCTCTGTATGCCACATGTATTAAAAGATACCACAATGTTATTTTTGCTTATATCCATCCTGGTTTGAGAGAGAGAGAGAGATTCCACTAAGGATTTATAAATCTCTAAATTTTGATAGAAAACTATAGCAAACTAAAGAATATAGTTTAATAAACACATCCATGTACATGTACATGTATGTGACATGCTACAATAACATTTATAATTTGTTATCATTTTTCAAGATTTATACATTAAATCAAAGTTTGTTATTTGTTATGCATTCTTTTTCCATCTGCTTTTCCTACAATGTGTAGAAATGAGTTCTACATGTAAGAGTCTTTAATCAAAGAGTGGTAGGACTTGTTTAGTCTGGTCGCTAATTGGTTGTAAATCACAGCAATTCAGTGGTACCTTCATGTACATGTAATTGCTTTCTTTTTATTTTATAAGATGGCTGAATGTTTAAAAATGGGAAAGTGTAGAGTATGATTTAGTGACAATATTAGATATTAGACAGGACTGCTTCTAGAGCCAGAAGGATGATAAAACTAAAACATTAACACAGAGTTAAAATCCTACTGTATATTACTGTGAAATACATGTATAGACAGAGAGTGTTCATGAATGTAGATATGGGAGATATGGAAAACAGAAAGAGAGAAATAAAGGATGAACAGAGAGAAGGGTAACTGTAAAAAGTGAGAGAGAAGAGACAGAGATATGAGAGATGGGAGGTGGGAGAGGGAAAGAAATGGGGGAGGGAGAGAGATGGGGAAGAAGAGAGATGGGGGAGGGAATGAAATGAGAGAGGGAGAGAGATGGCGGAGGGAAAGAGATGAGAGAGGGAGAGAGATGGGATAGGGAGAGAGATGGGGAATAAGACAGATGGGGAATAAGACAGATGGGGGGAGGGGGTAAGACAGGGGATGGGGAGAGATATGGGGGAGTGAAAGAGATGAGAGAGGGAGAGAGATGAGAGAGGGAGAGAGATGAGAGAGGGAGAGAGATGTGAGAGGGAGAGAGATGAGAGAGGGAGAGAGATGTAGGAGGGAGAGAGATGGGGAGGGAGAGACATGAGAGAGGTAGAGAGACAGGGAGTGAGAAAGATGAGGGAGTAAGAGAGATGTGTGTGGGAGAGAGATGGGAAAGAAGAGAGATGGGGGAGAAGAGAGATGGAGGAGGGAGATGGGATAGGGAGAGAGATGGGGGAAGGGAGAGAGATGATGGGGTAAGAGATGGGAAGGGAGAGAGATGGGAGAGGGAGAGAGATGAGAGAGGTAGAGAGATGAGAGAGGGAGAGAGATGGGGAGGGAAAGAGATGGGGAACAAGACAGATGGGGGGGGGGGGGGAGGTAAGACAGGGGATGGGGAGAGATATGGGGGAGTGAAAGAGATGAGAGAGGGAGAGAGGTAGAGAGATGAGAGAGGGAGAGAGATGGGGAGGGAGACGGATGAGGGAGTAAAAGAGATGTGTGTGGGAGAGAGATGGGGGAAGAAGAGAGATGGGAGAGGGAAAGAGGGATGGATATAGCGATAGGAAAGGGAGAGATGCAGAAGAGTATGAGCAATGAGATATGGGATAGAGAGAGAGAGAGAGAGAGAGAGAGTAAGTGAACAAATCTCTGAACTGTTTTCCAATTATAAGAGGCAGGCGCCTGCCAAATTTATTTTTCATACTCGTTCAGAGCAATAAATTAGCCCTCAAGGAGCAATTTTGAATTTCAATTGTCTAGAGTACACAGCAACTCATTAGTCCAAACTGAGGCACATTAATTATGTGGAGGAGGGTAAAAACAAGTGTAAAGACTTGAGGGAGGTGTTTATAATTAACTTACACAATTTCATGTTGTATGGATGAGATTGTGTAAGCTTTCTGTACAAAGGGAGAAATAGAATTGAAGAAACCTGTCAAACACTGGTCATGATATATTTGGAGGGAGGGAGAGAAAGAGAAATGCCGGCCGCAGCCAGTTACAAAACCTGTAATTACAGTTATTAAGGAAAGTAGTAAAACAATGAGATGTTTCCGAGAGTGACATCTGGGGAGATGGGGAAGAGAGAGAGAGAGAGAGAGAGAGAGGGGGGGGGAGGGAGAGACAGAGGGGGAGGGAGGGAGAGACAGAGAGAGAGGGAGAGAGGGAAAAAAAGAGAGAAGGGGGAAGAGAGAGAGAGAGAGGCTTTTTTTGGGGGGGGGGGGGGGGGGGGGGGGGGGGGAGATACATGTTTAAAAGAAGGATGGAGAAAAGACAAAAGGGAAGAATAAAGTAAGAACCTAGAAAAATATATCCAGAAGGAAGTAAAAGTGCTGTATGATGTTTAAATAAAAGTATGTGTGTGACTGCAAATGTTAGGAAATTAATCATGAACTGTTACATACATGTACATCTTTCTTTTTCTTTTAATCTTAAAGACAGACTTGGCACAGATGTCTTCTTTGATTGCAAAGAAGTGACCTCCATAATGAAATAAACTGAATGGCAGTGCCTCAATTCAATTGAAATTGATCAATCTTATTTGCTCCTAATTGAATAATGCTTTTTCATTCACATGCATACAGGCCCATCACAAGTCGTTTGTCATACACTGAACTCGATCCTGTCAGCCTTGGATAGCAAAATCGCTATGACAGTCCGTCTGTAACGCAGTCACAGGGAAGATGTGTGCGTGAATGGATATACGGAATACCACTACCCCCAGCATAGATTATCACAGCTCGCTTTCATCCGATGATGCTCAGTGCGTCGTCGTCGTCGTAGCTGGGAGGGGAGTGATCCAGTATGGAATGATTGAAGTCCATTTGCTCTAAGTTTCCCAGCAAGATCTGTGTGCACAGTGGCAGCAAGAGGGGTGCAGAACTGCAGATGCAAAAGGAGAGGCGCGAACTTGACCATCCAAGAGGTGCAATGTCTTGTCCTTGCTCTTGAGTTTGGTCTTGGATAGCATTAAAGGATATTGCTGAATCATGTTGAAAAAGACTGAATAATGAAACACAAAGACAAACTGAGACATCTGGAATAACATGGTGTGAGAAAATCCATGGTTTTAAAGAGTTCTCTTGAATAGATAATATGCTAGATGTTGACAAGCAAAGAAAAACAGGACCGCCCGTCGCACGTTGAATTCAATCAATATTCTGAAATCAAATATTTTATCAGATGAGGATCATTTGATTTCAGCGTAAAAACCACAAGTTATCTGAGAAGACATACTTGTACAGTGTTCATGTTCCTCTCAAAACTCTACTTCAATGTTCCTCTTCCACGCCAGTAGGGAAGCAGTGCAACCAAACAGGTACATGTAGAGTTTTCAAAAACAGTAATCGATCTTCTCTCAGCTCCTCTCACGATTGTAAGCACCCCATCGTCAGATCCATCGACCAGATGTTGAAGTAATCTGCGGTTTATTCATCCCTGGAATGATATTAATCTTCGGTTTGTCGTTGACGCAAGCCACGACTCCTTCAGATCTGAACCTCGCCACCGGTGTTCGGAGCGTCCGAGAAGTTTTGCGGTCTTTCTGCGTGCTGGAAGTCGTCGGCATGGAAGATGCAGAGATATGAGGTGAGTTTAACCATTTTTTTTCCTGAAGGATTTGTGATAACTTCAACAAACTTGTCGAAGAATGGCATCAAAACCTGCTCAGCAAGTTCTGTATACAAAATATTTTAGTTGTTTGTTGTTGAACATAAAACCTGACATGAAATTGGACTTGTCTCTATGTACACAAACTTTTTATTGTATTGTTGTAAAAGAGTTTTACATTTTCAAAATATTTTGATAAAATGGTGAATGAATGCACCAAATTCTGTTCAGAGAGTTTTGTATGCAAATTTATTTAGAACATCGATAACCTGAAAGGATATTGACAATTTGCATGTATTTGCATGTTCACAAATATAGGCAGTCTAAAGGTTTTTATAGAATATTTTGATAAACTGGTGAAATACAATGTACATGTAAATCGCCAAACCTGCTCAGATACATGTAGGTTTGTATACTTTAGTTTGTTTGATCCATCAAAAGAACATTAATAATTTTGAACATGTCCTTTTACTCCTATATCATGTACACACAATGAATGCATCAAAGTCTCATCCAAAAGATGCCTACTGGTGCACATGTACATGCACTGTATACATTCTATAGTTGTAGAACTTTGTTATTTGTTTGAACATGAAATACACAGACATCACATAAACTTCTGATGAACATGGAGACACACTTTACATTTTCCTGAAGCGCAGAGAATACTCCTTTTTGTCATTAATGTATACTCTTGCTACCCTAACAGAGGTGTTTGAAACATTTAAAGTAACATTTGCTCATTGAATGGACATGTACATGTAAAGTAGAAATACTATTTCTGGGCCCTGTAGTTTTAAAATTGGCTTACAATCAATTGTATAGATCCATCTTCATTCTAGCTTAAAATTATATTGATTGTGCATTATATGTACAACATGTATCTCACAGTGAATATTATCTACTCGTATCAAGACACTGATTGTTTGAGGTTACTGATGATTGTAAAGGTAATATTGATTGAATGACATACAGACCTTTTTTGGGGGAGATACAATCGATTGAACAGTGAAACTCTTTATCATACAAGGTCTTGTATTCAAAACTTTACAGAGTTTATTTGTGCATAAATAGCTTGAAATGTTTCTAGTAACCTGTGACCTGAAACACAAACCTTAGATGTCTGGGTAGTAAATCATATTGAAGGACTTGTCATCTACATTTACATTTACGTGTAGATCTCATGTACATTGTACACTGTCATCTGTTTCCCTCTCTCATCTCTCTTTCTCTCCCTTAAATCTCTCTCCATTTCTCATCTCTTTACATCTCTTTCTCCTCCTCATCTCTCTTTCTCCCCCTCATCTCTCTTTCTCCTCCTCATCTCTCTTTCTCCCCCTCATCTCTCTTTCTCCCCCTCATCTCTCTTTCTCTCCCTCATCTCTCTTTCTCCCCCTCATCTCTCTTTCTCCCCCTCATCTCTCTTTCTCTCCCTCATCTCTCTTTCTCCCCCTCATCTCTCTTTCTCCTCCTCATCTCTCTTTCTCTCCCTCATCTCTCTTTCTCCCCCTCATCTCTCTTTCTCCCCCTCATCTCTCTTTCTCTCCCTCATCTCTCTTTCTCCCCCTCATCTCTCTTTCTCTCCCTCATCTCTCTTTCTCCCCCTCATCTCTCTTTCTCCCCCTCATCTCTCTTTCTCTCCCTCATCTCTCTTTCTCCCCCTCATCTCTCTTTCTCTCCCTCATCTCTCTTTCTCCCCCTCATCTCTCTTTCTCCCCCTCATCTCTCTTTCTCCCCCTCATCTCTCTTTCTCTCCTCATCTCTCTTCTCCCCCTCATCTCTCTTTCTCCCCTCATCTCTCTTTCTCTCCCTCATCTCTCTTTCTCCCCCTCATCTCTCTTTCTCCCCCTCATCTCTCTTTCTCCCCCTCATCTCTCTTTCTCTCCCTCATCTCTCTTTCTCCCCCTCATCTCTCTTTCTCTCCCTCATCTCTCTTTCTCTCCCTCATCTCTCTTTCTCTCCCTCATCTCTCTTTCTCCCCCTCATCTCTCTCTCTCTCCCTCATCTCTCTTTCTCTCCCTCATCTCTCTTTCTCCCCCTCATCTCTCTTTCTCTCCCTCATCTCTCTTTCTCTCCCTCATCTCTCTTTCTCCCCCTCATCTCTCTTTCTCCCCCTCATCTCTCTTTCTCTCCCTCATCTCTCTTTCTCCCCCTCATCTCTCTTTCTCTCCCTCATCTCTCTTCTCTCCCTCATCTCTCTTTCTCTCCCTCATCTCTCTTTCTCCCCCTCATCTCTCTTTCTCTCCCTCATCTCTCTTTCTCTCCCTCATCTCTCTTTCTCCCCCTCATCTCTCTTTCTCTCCCTCATCTCTCTTTCTCTCCCTCATCTCTCTTTCTCCTCCTCATCTCTCTTTCTCTCCCTCATCTCTCTTTCTCTCCCTCATCTCTCTTTCTCTCCCTCATCTCTCTTTTCCCCCTCATCTCTCTTTCTCTCCCTCATCTCTCTTTCTCCCCCTCATCTCTCTTTCTCCCCCTCATCTCTCTTTCTCTCCCTAATCTCTCTTTCTCCCCCTCATCTCTCTTTCTCCCCCTCATCTCTCTTTCTCTCCCTCATCTCTCTTTCTCCCCCTCATCTCTCTTTCTCCCCCTCATCTCTCTTTCTCTCCCTCATCTCTCTTTCTCTCCCTCATCTCTCTTTCTCCCCCTCATCTCTCTTTCTCTCCCTCATCTCTCTTTCTCCCCCTCATCTCTCTTTCTCTCCCTCATCTCTCTTTCTCTCCCTCATCTCTCTTTCTCTCCCTCATCTCTCTTTCTCTCCCTCATCTCTCTTTCTCTCTCTCTCTCTCCAGCTCTTTCTCTCCCTCATCTCTCTCCATTTCTCATCTCTCTCCATCTCCTTCTCTTCCTCATCTCTCTCTACATGTACAGGTGTACTGCATCTCTTTCTCTACTCATCTCTCTTTATTTCTCATCTTTCTCTCTTTCCAGCTCTTTCTCTCCCTCATCTCTCTTTCTCTCCCTCATCTCTCTTTCTCTCCCTCATCTCTCTTTCTCCCCCTCATCTCTCTTTCTCTCCCTCATCTCTCTTTCTCTCCCTCATCTCTCTTTCTCTCCCTCATCTCTCTTTCTCTCCCTCATCTCTCTTTCTCTCCCTCATCTCTCTTTCTCTCTCTCTCTCTCCAGCTCTTTCTCTCCCTCATCTCTCTCCATTTCTCATCTCTCTCCATCTCCTTCTCTTCCTCATCTCTCTCTACATGTACAGGTGTACTGCATCTCTTTCTCTACTCATCTCTCTTTATTTCTCATCTTTCTCTCTCTCCAGCTCTTTATATCCCTCATCTCTCTCCATTTCTTATCTCTTTCCATCTCCTTCTCTTCCTCATCTCTCTACATCTCTTTCTCTCCCTCATCCCTCTTTTTCTGTTTTCAGCTCTTTCTCTCCCTCATCTCTCTTTATTTCTCATCTCCCCTCCTCATCCTCTGATCAATTGCAAGTTGCCTAACTATTATATAATAAGTTGCAATTAATCAAAACTCTTTATAAGATGGGGCCCTGGACTACAGTACATGTTGTATATAATCTACTGACATACATGTACATGTATCTAGACAATCATTGTCCATTAATAGCAAGAAGGCCGTTGCACCTTTATTAAAGTACGCGTTAAGGCCCTTCTGGCATTCAGCACACATTTTGTCAGGAGTCGGGGGTGATGCACTCTCCCTTAGAAATTATTTTAGGCCTGTGAGTGTGATCTTCATTTCATCTTTGCCACGCAATTGGTCAGCCCTTCCCTTCTCCAATTTAGCTAATAGATGTAGCAATCGTTGACTATCTTTTGATGCGGGTACCATTGGAAGTGATGAGTGATTTTTCTTTATCATTGCTATCATCACCACCACCATACCCGTCCATCCGTCATATGGGAGAATGGTGAGAGACAGTGGCAGAAATGAGCAGTTCTATATTGATGACTGATAGAGGGAGAGGAGAAAAACAGATTTACATGTGGGCAATTCCACGGTAACGGAAGGACACTCAGACAAGATTTTTGAACTTCAGGTTCATACTAAAAGAAATGTTTTATTAGTATGTATTAAACTATGGGGAACAAAATGTGTTTCAGTCAAGTGGAAAGCTTCATCAACTTCACAAAGTTTGGATAAACACTAATTAACTGGAAAAACCATGTCCATTTTTATGTCCTTCCGTTACCGAGATAATTAATATGCACATTCTTAAACTACTTAACTATAATGACAATTTTTTGGGGAGAATTAAAGGCACTTATATAGGTATTATATCTGTACTGTTTCACATCTTATACTAATAAAACAGTTCTTTTAGTATGAACCTGAAGTTCAAAAATCTTGTCTGATTGTCCTTCCGTTACCGTGGAATTGCCCATGTGTTGTAAAAAGGTGATCGGTAAAGTGTTGGAGAAGAGGGTCTGTATACTGTAGATCTAGAGAAAGGAAAGAGTTGTGAGAGAATGAGAGTGAGGGATTTGGGGGGGGGGGTGGAGGAGGAGGGGTAGAGAGAGGGAGAGAGAGAGAGAGAGAGAGAGAGAGAGAGAGAGAGAAAGAGAGATAGAGAGAGGGGAGGGAATGGGATAGAGAAAGAGATAGGAGTACATGTAGGAGGGAAGGGGGGAGAGAGAGAGAGAGAGAGAGGAAGGAGGGAGGGAGGGGGATAGAGAGAGAGAGGGAGAGAGAAGAGAGAGAGAGAGAGAGACAGAGGGAGAGAGAAGAGAGAGAGAAGAGAGAGATTGATTGAGGAAGAGAGAGAGAGAGGGAGAGAGGAGAAGGGGGGGGGGGTACAGAAAAGCAAGAGGGGAGAGAATGGGTGGAGTGATAAAGAGATCTAGAGAGAGATCATGCATCTGCATGCAGACAGAGAGACTGACAGGCAAACAGACTGACATACAGAAAGATAAAAAGTAAGAGGGAGAGAGAGAGAGAGAGAGAGAGAGAGAGAGAAACTCAGAGAGAGTGGAAAACGGGAATGGAATTTAGAAAGGGATGCATGATCTACATGT